ATGTCTCTGCTGTTTATAACTTCATAGGAAAGAAAACACGCTAGTCATAGCAGTTTCAATGACGAAACCTCTCCCAAGAGCTACAGGAATTTTGCTGCAAGACAGGCATATGTAACGATGACTTATCGCAGCTGAACTCGTGGCTTATTATACTCTGTTCTACTGACAACAGGCCAGCGAAAAATCTAACAATCTACAGCAAAACCATCAATTATTATGGGCGTTATAACATAGGTGTGCAGCTGGACGAAACATACACGTCGAACCCCCCCAGACGATTTAAATACCTGACGAAACATACACGTCAAACCACGCTGAACGGTTAAAGGAAGTCTGTCACAGGGTACGACTATACACATAACACAAACTGTTCAAGATGTCAGACTGTCATTTGCCAGATGTTACTTTAGACTTTCCTTTCTTATTACCAGTCTAATCAAATCTATCACTGCAACTGCTAACAGGATATTCAAAACTTGTTGGTCAACAGGAATAATGTTTGTCCACTCAGTTGTCATAAATGCAAAAATGTGGCTCATGACTGCTGTACAAATACCCAACACCTATACATTCTCTTTTGACTGGAGAAATAAGTCAATCATCAGTTTGTGACCACCTTCATACAATTTACCTGAACAGGAGTAGCTGGACTGACACTCATCCCTCGCATAGGACACTGACTGTCAGGTGAATATCGTGGGCAGCTACGCTTTGTAAGAAACTGTCCACCATTGAACACATCTATGTAGTAGTAAGGACTAAGTTCTCCAGATTCTTCTGTGCTATAAATGTAAAATCTTTTGACAACCAGTGAGACTGAGCATAAAATGGAACATCCTAATAAACTCTCAATATAAAAATAGCTCATCATCCTACTAAGAGAAGAAGTGTAATGCATCATACAAGCTTTTTCATATGTATTATATGGCAAGAAAAAATAAAGTTGCACTGTCTATCAATAAATACTTTGGCTTATAGAACTGTTTCTAGGCAATGACCATGAACCAAACAACAAGACAACAACCACTGCAAGGAAGCAGGTTCTTAACAAGTAACAGTTGAACTAAAACAATAGAGGAACTGTTGGAAACAGTGTTGTCTACATGAACCGTGCAAAGGAATTATATAATGAGGACACCAGTCGAGCTACAACCAGTTGAAAGTCAGGCTGTGAAGAGAAGACTAGGAGGTTTGTGTGAAGTGGGCACCAGCCTGGGAGTTTGTCAGTTGAAGCAATAAGAGAATTGTATGGGAGTACGTGACAAGAAGACTTAGTTGGTTCAGTTAAGACAGAAGGTGAAAAATCTCCACTGTTAAAATCTGTTATCAGGAAAGGTTTTGTGAAGACAGGGAAGACTTCACTGTAGTCACAGTGATATTTGGAGCGTGTAATTCAGCGAGCCTGTTATAGTTACTGTGTTTAAATATGTTGCCAGGAAATGATTAGTGGAGATTGCAAGAGACTGAGAAGACTAGTTTGTGTTCTCTAGTGATTTGTAAAGTGTGTGGAGATCAGCGATGGTGCTATAATTAAGTGTAGTTATGAGCTGCATGTTAAAGCGGTCAATAAATCCCATCTCTGATAAAAAAACAGTGTCAACAGTCATTCTTAACATGTGCCAATATAATTTAATAATTGTGGCTGTTTTTGATAAAGTCTTGTATTTAAACTATGGCTGTTTTTCATAAACTCTTGTATTTTAACCATCATGAGAAATAAAGTTATCACATGTGTGCCTGTCAAATGGACAAAGCTAAACCAACATACACAATTTTGTTAAGCTTACTTAAAAATTCTACAATTTTTGCTTGTAAGTCTTTTTAAATCTTAAGTATCTGAATACAAATGATGATAAAAATTTACATTATTTTAATTCAAAAAAGATATTTCCATTATTCTTACTTGTATTTCTCTCTCCAGCGGAGCAGAAAGTGGGCTGGTAAACTAACAGGCTCACACTTTACTCCAAGCCTCCTTGCCACACTTTCAAACACAATGCTTAATGTGATTGGAATTCCTCTACGATCCTCCAGTACCTGTTCACAAAAACTATTTGAGCTCTAGCCATTACCTTACATTACTTCTTATGCCATATTAAATTACAATGGGACACTGTGAAGTATATGTTCAAAGATATAATATTACTAGAATTTGCACAGTTGACTTTATCTCAGTATCAGCCTCATTTGTAATTTAATTTTGTGGTAGTGCTAGGAATAAATATCATGAAACTGACACTACAGCAGAACATTATTATATTTCCACACTGCAAAATGCAACTTTGTTTTTCTTTAAACTACAAGCTATAGCACACATGTGCACCTGCTCTGGCAAATGTGTGCACACATGCATATGCACACTCTTGTACATAATCTGCACTATATCCAGGATTTACTATATTATATGGAGGACCTGATACAGAAGGAAAAATTTAGAGTTCCTTGCCAGTTGTAATATATTAAATTGGATAATTTTATGTTTTCTGTACATACTTTATTGATGTAAGAGTTTACTGCTGAATAGTACATCTCATTGTTGCCATGAAAACCCATGTGCTGGAAAAGCACAGTGCACATTGCTGAAATAATCTGTTGTGATTCAAATGGCCTCCACTGATTGCCGCTGATAGTTTTGTTTCTCCACAGTTCCAATCTGTCCATAGGTACACTAAATATTGGGTGGTTATTATGTTCCATGAATAGTTTTCTTTTGACCTCCACAGCAATATTATCCAACTGAGCTGCTATGTCCTTATATGTCACGTCCACCATTGGCTGACACCACTGTGCTACAAGCACAGCCCCTTTTTCCAGTAACTGATCTTCGGGATCCAGAGCCAAAAAATCTTGCCACTCTTCCTTCAAATGCTGTTGCCGAACATAATGCATTACTTTCTCTGCATAATACTTCTGTGTTAAATTTGAGCACCTACAAATAACACGAGTATTTCAATACAATACACTTCATAGGATTTGAGACTCTCACAGTGGTGGTTATGAAGACTACTTTCTTCTGGGATATAACAATCTGTAGTCTGTTGAAAGTTAATAAACTTTTGAAGGCATATATCGCCTCCATCTTCAGGGTCAAAGAATAAGTTGAGCAAGATACCAGTGAGAAAGCTGTCTTATTCTTCAACCCTGAAGATGGAGGCAATATGTTCCTCTGAAACGCTGGTTGTCATTCAATGAACTATGTGGCATTACATATTACAAGATGGTACTCAGACGTCACACTTGAGAAGTACCTACAAAGGATTAAACATATCATAATTGTGCAATGGACTTATTTATTTCTGAGCATCAGCTATCCTTTTTTAAAAAAAAATGTATGCAGAAACTTTTCACCTGTGACTTTGGAAAGCTGGTGTTTCAAGGGGCACAAATAACACTCTGAAAATCTGTGAAACATTTTTCACCAACAAATTTTTTGAACAACTGTAACTGAATTCATATAACGGAAAAAAGTGCCATTCAAATTCTTTAATGTGGCCTGGTAAAGCAGGGACAGCAAGTGGAATTTATGTTGTGCTTGGGGTGATTTCATGTTAATGGTGATACCTGCCTGCACTTTGTGGGCTAGCATACTAACTTGAGTTACTGAAGGAACATAAATTATATCTTCATATTAAGAAGTTACTGATAATGATAACGAAAATGTGATGTAACATACATAATTCCTTCAAGATTTAAATACTATGCTGCATGAGTAAAGACAGGGCATAGGAACCAAAGAATAGTACTGAAGATCAATGAAATAAACAGACCAACTTATTTGAAAGAGGTATAAGATTTCAATCAGTGAGATTTTATATTTAATGACACGATAAAGAAAGAAATGTTAACTGCTCCACTACAACAGCTGCCATCATCTGCATATGCATGTGAAAGCAAATGACATGTAAAACCATAAAGAAAATATTTTGAAAACACGTGTATGATCATACACAAATTATTTACATCAATTTATATTTGCTGGTTACAAAAATAATACTTATGAAAACAGAATCTGTTGCAATACTTGGAGCAAAATGCAATAAACCTAATACTCTTTCTTAAATGTGTAATGTCACCACTGTAATCACTATTCTTGGCCAGTGACAACTTAAGACCCTAATAATGTTGGCATTTAACTAGGGCCTAGAAATAAAACAAGATAAATTACACACTTACACATCATCATCATATACAATGCTCATGAGTTCATTCACCATAAATTCATAACCATATTCATTCATCTGCTTCATTTTACCAAAGTCAGAAAGTTCTGAATTGGAAATCTCCTCTCTTTTGTGAAATTTCCAGGACATCTCCGCCAACAGGTGCCTAAGATCCCTACTAAAACACAGCCGAATCTGGTACAAACATTGCCAAGAAAAAGACCTCTGATTGTCAAAGACATCTCGCAGATCAGGCCACCTGTAAAAAAAAATACAAGCGTAATACAAATAAACACAATACATGACTGAAGAACAAGCATAAGACATATGGTACACTTAATACTTATATAAATGAGAAATCCTTTATAATTAATTCACAATAAGTTTTACAATTCCATACATACAAAAGATGTTGCTATAAATTAAGGTTTACAAATTCATCAAGACAATAGGCAGGTGACAAAAGGAACGCATTTAATGAGAAACAAAATTGTGTTCTGTTAGTGGATAGACCTTTATTTTCTATTGGGAGCTTGTTACACAACATTGTATTTATGCATCCTGTTGCATGAATGTATTACTTTTATACACGTGTATTTCCGTCTTAAATGCAACATATTATCTATCATCCTTCTTCCTCACTATATGTTTCAGCCATATACAGCCATCATCAGGTGCTGTCTATCTTGATAAAATTGTTCAACAAAGTTCTATATCACATGTGAACATGACATTTAATAATTAATATGAATTAAGCCTGGAATTAAAATTAACATTTTAATGTTATATCCACTGTGGTCAGCATGCATTCATTTAAAAGATATTTCCTTGAGAGTATTTCTGTCAAGCAATAATTTCAGCAAACAGAAAATAGAATTAGAATTAGGAATTAGAACTGAGCAATTGCAGCGAGTCATAGACAACAGAGATCTAGGGGCCCCTGATACTGTCGTAATTCATGTAGGCACTAACGATCTAAGACGAACTGGAAATCTGGATTATGTGATGGGTGATGTATATGCTCTGGTGAAGAAGGCTAAGACTAAGTTTCCTCAAGCCACTTTAGTTCTGAGTGGCGTACTTAGGCGCAGAGACGTGTCGTGGCGGCGTATTGGAGCATTAAACGATAGATATGACTGGGTAGCGAGGTCACTAGGAGTTACATTTGTGGACCCAAACAGTTGGCTTGAGGACTGGGACTTTGGCAGGGATGGACTACACATAAACAGTAGCGGAGCGAGGAAACTAGGCCAGCTGTATTCCAGAGTGTGTGACTTCAGCGGCCGAGTGCAAAATCGGAACAAGTGACTGCTGCTGAGGGTTAACAATGAGGGAACGCCTGGAAGGATGACGAACACGATTACCGAGGATCCGACGCTAACCGGGGCGGCGACAAGGAGACAGGAAGACATAAGTGATGGATCTGTAGCTACGGGAGGGGCACAGAAGATAGAGGGCAATTCTTTGGTTTTGCTTCAGGTAAATTGCAGGAGTATTCTTAATAAATCTTTAGAATTTTGGAATTGAATTGATACATATAATCCCGATGTTATAATAGGTACGGAGTCATGGCTCAGAGAGGAAATTAGCAATGCCGAAGTTTTTAGGGACGAGTACACAACTTTCAGGAGAGATAGGAATACTCGAGGTGGTGGAGTGTTTATTTGTGTAAAGAATTACATTGCTTGCGTGGAACTATGGGTGGACGAGGATTTCGAAATGATTGCAGTTGAAGTGAAAGGCAGAGACCCTAAATGTACATGGGAAATTGTAGGCATCTACAGAGCTCCGAATGAGGATATGCGGGTTATAGAAAGACTGGCAGCCCGAGCCGATTCTTTAGGAAATTTTACAAAGCGTAGCATTACAAGTATTGCAGGAGACTTAAACTTGCCCTACGCCGATTGGAATGGAAACGTGCAATGCACTAGTGGAGGTCAGGAATCTGTAAATAGATTGGTGTGGGAAAGTGGGTACACGCAGGTAGTAAACAACTCGACACGAGGGGATGCATTGCTGGATGTATACTTAGTCCAGCCGGAAAACCTGTTTACCTCTTGCAGCGTTATACAAGGGATCAGTGACCATTGTGGGGTGTTATTAGAAGTAGAATGGGAAGAAACATACTGTCGGCCAGAAGTAGAAAGACTGGTACAGGTGTACCACAAAGCAGATACCATAGGTCTACAAACTTTTCTCCGGGATAAATTTGTAATATGGGCAAGCAATGGTGGATGCATTGAGGAAGTATGGAATAATTTCAAGAACATAATACTTCAGTGTATCGAAAGATTTATTCCACATAGAATACTTAGAAAACATTCAGACCCTGACTACTACAATAAGGAAGTGAAAAAATTAAAATTAAAGGTCAGAAAAGCATATAATAGAAGAAAATTAGGGGAGCAGTATTGAGAGGAACTGAAGCGATTATCCAAGCAAAATGCACAGGAGATATTTTTAAGGACTGTATTAAAAAATGAAGGTAACTGCTGGACTGAGTTCTATAAGTATGTAAAAAGACGCAAAGGAAATAGGGAAAATATTCCTGCAATCAAAGATGTTAATGGACGACTCGTTACTGATTCGATAGAAAAGGCTAACTTCCTCAACTTACATTATTCTTCCGTATTCAGCAGTGAGCGTAGCATCCCGCAAATACAGCACGATATCTCAGGGGAACTCTTCACAGTTAGTACGAAAATTATTAGGAAAAGGTTAACAGCGATAGGTAAGAACAAATCAGTAGGGCCAGAGAGCATTTCTGGCGAAATTCTAAAACTGGGTGGGGAAGCCATGATTCCATACCTGGCGCGATTACTGGATGTGACAATTAATAATGCCGCTATTCCCAGTGATTGGAAACAGGCCATAGTGGTTCCTGTTTACAAGGGAGGTGATCGATCGCTGGTCTCCAATTATAGACCCGTCAGTTTAACCTCAGTAGTATGCAAGCAAATGGAACACGTTATAGCATCGTACCTGAGGAAAATATGGGATAAAAATGACTGGTTATTTGAGGGTCAGCATGGCTTCAGGCCGGGATATTCATGTGAAAGTCAAGTAATCACGGTCTACCAAGACATTGCAGACTCACTGGATAACGGAAGTAGGATAGACACAATTGTAATAGATTTTTCGAAGGCCTTCGATTTAGTTTGTCATGATCGTCTGCTTATGAAAACTGCGGCCTCAGGAGTGGACTCAAGGGTAGTTATACGGATAAGGGAACTCTTTTTGGGCCGTATGCAGAGAGTCAGAGTAGGAGGGCAACTATCGGAGGAAGTCAGAACGTCAGGAGTACCACAAGGAAGTGTGCTGGGCCCACTAATGTTCCTCGCCTACGTCAATGATATTTGGAAAAATATTGAGTCAACTATTAGGATATTCGCGGATGACTGTATAATATATAGGAAAATTAAAAATAATAATGATAAGGAAAAATTGCAGATAGATCTGAACAGACTTGGGAAATGGGCGGTTGAAAATGAGATGAAAATTAATCCAACTAAAAGTAAGGCAGTTTGTTTCATGAGGGCTCGAGTAACGAAGCCACTAAATTATTCGTTAGGGGGCACAGTAATCCCAGAAGTGAGCAGCTGTAAATATCTGGGAATAATTTTACGCAGTGACCTAAGCTGGTCTGATCAAGTTAATTACACTGTGAAAAGAGCCTGGAAGGCACTTAATTTTACAATGCGTATTCTAAAAAAGGGAAATAGCAGAACTAAAAGTCTAGCATACACATCTTTAGTGCGTCCAATTCTGGAATATGGGGCGGCGTGCTGGGATCCTTACAGGGAGGGACAGATAAATGCGTTAGACCAGGTGCAAAAGAAAGCGGCTAAATTTGCACACCATAGGAACGAATCGAACTGGGAAACCTTGACAGAGCGCAGAAAGATAGCTCGCATATGTGCTCTCTTCAAAGCATACACGGGAGAACGGGCTTGGAAG